GTGGGGGAAGGGAGAGAGAGGGGGAGGGGGGAGTGATTCACATCTATATAGAATACCAGATACATGAGAGAGTGATGAACGAGATGGTAGAGAGGCGAGGAAGACAAGCAAAATTTGCTATGTATCCAGATACATGTAAATCCACTTGGATACAATGTGTCTAGAATAAATTATACCTATATTTGACCTCATGTGTCCAAGATATAATTATATGTACTTAGTTTGTACTTATGAGGCACGATAACACTTTATTTGATTGATTGTTACGTACTCCCTCCATTCCATATTAATTAAATTTTCGAGGCGTTTCACACCCTTTAAGAAAAGTAGATTAAGACATAAATTGAACATAGTTTTCTATTTTTACCCTTATTAATTATTGTCAAATTTATTGAAGTCATCACATTGAAAATCCAAATGAAGGGTAAAATTGAAAAATGGAAAATGCCTCAAAAATTTAATTAATATGGAATGGAGGGAGTATTGTTTTATAACGCATCATATTATGTTGTATTGATTATGTTATATTGTATTGTTTTAATAAATATAATATTTGGATAGATTGTATGATAAACCTAAAATATAAGTAAGTTACATGATAGATCTATTAATTATTAAAAGAAAAAATATAATTATTAAATAATAAATAAAAATAAAATATTAAAAATAACTACACATGACACAAAATCGATCTTACACAAAACTAGTAGGTACAATAAAATTTAAATAATAATCAAAACAAATATTATTTAAATTAACAAGGCTGGGACATAAACGATGAGAAAATGATCAAAATGGTCCTTAATGTATGACTTTGATTCCATTTGGTCCTTAATGTATGGATTTGATGAAAATGGTCCTTTATGTATCATAAATTGTGATCAATTTGGTCCTTTAACCCCTAAAATTAATATTTTATTTTATTTTGCCGTCAAAATACACGGAATATGTAAAAGATGCACTCGTTCAAGACTTTCCTTCCCCCTGTTTCCAAAAAATTCCAAAATGACACATCAATTTTTTTTAACCAAAAGGGCAAAATCGCTTCTGACGGAGCGATTTTCTTCTGACAAAATTGACGCTGTTACTCCTTTAAAAAACATAAAAATCGCTGTCGATCCAAAAAAAATATTATTTTTTCTTTAAAATTGCTGTTGTGATTTTTTTTTAACAACGCTGCCCCAGCAGCATTTAAAAAATAGAAATAGCTGCTATAGCAGCCATTTTCTTAAAAAAGTTCAATTTTTTTTTATTAAAAATTCCCGAGGCGAGGACTACTTAAAAAATAATGGGAAATCGCTCCACGTGTAGCAATTTTAGTTAAAAAAAATTTAAAATAATTGCTGCCATTAAAATTTTAGGGTTAAGGACCAAATTGATCACAATTTATGATACATAAAGGACCATTTCCATCAACTCCATACATTAAGGACCAAATGGAATCAAAGCCCATACTAAGGACCATTTTGATCATTTTCTCCATAAACGATCATGTTGGTTTTTTCAGAATCTTCATCAATATAACCCTTTCTCTCCTCTTCTCGTTTCTCAGGTTCGTTCCAAACAAAGTGAAACCTCTCTTTCTTTTATAACTTTTTGGTTCCATTTATTATGTTGATTTTACTTCTTAAAATGATAGGAAAATCAAGCCCTTATCTCAAAATGCTTTTCTGATTATGATAATCGTGATGAATAATATGCCTAAATTATCTTCTTTTACGTGTCCCCGTAATGTAATTTATGGACTTTCTTTGTTGTTAATTAGGTGTAATTGAAATTTGAAGGGGTATTTGTTCTGTAGTTATTGGGTTTACTTTTGTTTGAAGTTATCTGTTGAATATATTTCGGTTTACAATGCAATGCAATTCAAACCTTATTATTATTTATAATGTTGTGACAAATAATGAAGGCGTTCATTTACGTTTCTGTGTGCTATAATTTCGACTAATTGGTGAATTTGAATTGTATGTTGGTGGCTCATCAAGCTTCAATTATTTAACAAGGTGTGTGGGCTCTCTGTTTTATTGTTTTTGTCTTTGCATTTTATGATTCGGTTTGCAAATGCTAGACCAACAGCAACGAACGACATACTAGTGTAATCCCACAAGTGCGGTCGGTCCGGAGAGGGTAGAATGTATGCACACCTTACTTCTACCTTTGTGGGAGAGAAAGGCCGTTTATGCTAAACCATCAATCATAATCTCAATATCTCCTCCAAAATGCTTTTAGTATTGTGATGTTGATGACTAATATGTGTAAAAGTGCCTCTCTTATGTTTCTGTGTATATTATTATAAGTGATTGGTTTTGCTATTTTGGTGGTCAGGTGAAATTGAATTGCGAAACAAGATTCTGAATGACTGTTGGAATTATGTATTCTTGTGCAATGGGTTTGGGTTTTAAAGCTTAAATTTCACCTTTTTTGGATCATAGTTGAAGTTGAGATAAGAATGGATGGTAACAAAGATAAGGCCTTAAGATGCATCAGTATTGCTAAGGAGGCAATTGTGTCAGGCAATAAGAAGAAAGCACTTAAGTATATTGGAATTGCATGCTGCCTTGACAGTAAACTAGATGTCAATGATCTTTTGGTTGCTTGTGAAAAGCTTGATGCCTCAACTTATGATCACCCTACTGAAATTGGAGATGTTTCGACTGAGAAACATGTCAAATCTGATGAGGAGAGGAACTATACTGAAGAACACGTGCATTTGGTTACACAAATTAAGAGCATAAAGGACTATTATGCAATTCTAGGTCTAGAAAAGAGCTGTTCAGTTGAGGAGATAAGGAAGGCATACCGGAAGCTCTCCTTGAAAGTTCATCCTGACAAAAACAAGGCTCCGGAATCTGAAGAGGCCTTTAAGAAAGTATCCAAGGCATTTAAGTGTTTGAGTGATGATGACTCAAGAAGGCAGTATGATGAGACAGGTTTGGTGGAGGAATTTGAGTTTAATCAGCAGCATAATCTTAGACGTCGGAGGAGAAGAATGGACCACGACTTTTTTGAAGATGATTTTGATGATGATGAGATTATAAGGGCATTTTTTGGTCAGTCTGAAATGTATAGGACCTCTTATGTCTACAGGTCAAGGACCAATGTCCGCCACCAGAGGGAGAATTTAGGTTCCTCTGGGCCTAACTTAATTCTCCTCCTTCAAATGTTACCATTTTTTATCATCTTTTTACTTGCTTATTTTCCTTTCTCGGCGCCTCAGTACTATTCCTTGCAGAAGAACTACTCTTATCAGTTTAAGAAGATGACAGATAAATATGGTGTAGAATTTTTCGTTAAATCAGCAGAATTCGATAAGAATTATCCTCTTGGTAGTCCTGCTCGGGAGAACATTGAAGACAATGTTATTAGAGATCACAAAAGTACGCTTGGTCGTTACTGTCATATAGAACTCCAGAGGCGACAATGGAACAGGAATTACCCAACCCCTCATTGTGACAGGCTTCAAAACTTTGGAGTAGCTTAAGGTCGGCCTCGTTTTTTCTGTCTCTTTCCACTATTCTCTCTGCTGAAGATGTTTTTTTCTGCTTTGATCAATGCTAATGATTTTATAAACATGAGTATTATGTTATGTGGACTTCTGTGTCATTTTTAGAAGCTAAATTATTCAACATCCAGTGGGTAAATTACACATTTAATGTACTATTCTAGTGATTGAGTCATGCCTATACATCCCAATACTTGTAAATTGCTTTTAAACCTTCACAGGTTATAAAATAATGCATCAATAACAGGAAGACATATCTCACATTCTGATAGTACAAAGACTTGAAATGGAAGAGTGAGAGCCAGATGAAATGTAGCTTCCATCGCTTCCCTATTTCTCCCAGCTACAACAGTACTTTCATCCGGAATTCTCTCTTTTACTCTCTCTGTCTCTCTACACACACACATTATATTATATATACATATAATATACAGCCAATGAAACGACCAACTTATGGATCATCAAAGGTTGATTCCATCTCTAGAAACTCATTGTGTGAGGAAAAGTAATGGGAATATCCGTAAAGTTTGGATTTATATGTTGTTTATTATTCAGATTTTATCTTCTTGAGTTTCACTGGAGTGATTCTATTCTGATTTCTGTTAAAACACTAAATGGAGCTTTCCAGCGGAAGTGGATTCCAACTCGACCATGGCATGTGAATATGCTCAAGAGTCAAGAATAAATTATGGACAATTGCACTTAATTGTGTGGACAAGTGGTCAATGAAGTAGGTTTAAAACCATGGGTCTCAGATTCAAATCTCAAAGGAAAAAACACTAGGTCATTCCTTCTTATTTCTCTCTTTGTGGATAGAGTTACCCGATACCTATGATAGATGGGAAGTAGCAAGTATCCTTTGGAATTAGTCAAGGTGCGCTCAAATTGGCCTGGACACCACAATTATAAGAAACATTATGTACAATTTAACAATTGAAATGAGTAAGGACATGTCAACTTATTCACTCTTCAGTGATTGCAATCGTTCAACCTACCTTTTCTCCTTGTGAAGATAAGATAACATGGGAATGTAGTTTGTTTTTACTCCCTTTGTCCCATCTTAAGTTTCACTTTGTTTGTGTGAAAATAATGTCATTTGTAATGGAACCATCATCCATTGCATCTCAACTTTGTTGAATGTTAGATTTTAGTTTGCATGAAAATATTGCCTTTTGGAAGAGGAACCATCCATTGCAACTCAACCTTCTTGAATGTTAGCGCAAAAGTTCTTTTAAAGTCCTTTTAACCCTGCTGAGGCAAGGCTAGTGCATTCTATTACATCTTCTATTATCTATTGTGACACTATTGGGCAGTAAGAAATATAATGCTGAAAGGATGATCAGACTTGGACGTGCTAGTAGTGATGAATGTTGTTTTACAAGATTTGTTTTCTCTCTCTCTTCTAATTTTTGGTTCATAACTACTGTTTTGTGTGGGTGGGAGGGGGGTGGGGGGGACTTATAGCCTCTTTGCTTAAGTTCTGAAAATCTGCTTATTTTGAGAAGTGTTGTTCGAGAAAGTACTTATTGAGAGTAGTAGTTTGTGTTTGACTAATTTGGATAGCGCCTTTGTCAATATTAGAGCAACAATTTGTGCTTGACCAAGATTCAATAAGTGCTTTGGGGGAGAAGCTACTTTTTCTCAAAAGCACATATTTTTTTTCTAAAAGCTTAAGCACCTCAACTCTAAAAAAATAAGCATTTTTGGCTTCTCAGAAGTTCGGGCAAACATGCTATTAGATTGTTAATAATTTTGTGTCCTTGTTGGTTGACCGCTGACATGGTACAGGAATTGGAAGAATAGGGAGATGGAGAGATAGGTTATATTCTGGGACCCCTGGGTGTTGGGGTTCTAGTTAATTTGAATGCTTGAAAAAAAAAAATGAAAGCTACTGACTGAAGAAAGCTGTAGTGGTGTATTTTGTCAAGAAAGCTAAAGCGTGAAATTGTTTGCTTGCATTGCTTATAACTGCAAGATCGTATTTATTCATTGAACGAGTTTGAAAATTTTATGTAACATCTTTTCATAGATTATCTTGATTTCACCTTCAGATTATGCAAGTTGGGATGACAGCTTCTTTTTTTTTATCTAATGACTGGTATTTTGATCAATGTATTAATACTTTTTTCTCTGGCTTGCCTCCTTAGCCTGTGGTTCTTATGGTATATGCAAATTTCATCTCAGCTCTAGTAATTTCTTTCCTATTTACCTTCGAGTAATGTCCTCCACATGTACCTGGATAGTCGTTGGATCGTGTGTAATGTGGCCTAATCCTCAAAGTACCATTTTATGATATGGCTAGTAATTAGTTGTTTGTTTGCTCTACTTGTATTGCAGGTCTGTCGACTGTGTGCATGGAGCTATAAGGTGGTGGTAATTGAAGACTTGTAGTATGCTGTGAAGCAATAGGCTCTTCTGCTTGGTTGATTAAGTATGACCAGCCGTCTTATAGTTCAGTTATATTGTTCACTTGATAGCATGTCATAGCGCAATTGAAACTAACATCAACGAGGCTGCCAGCATAGGAAATTATTCAGGGGTCGCAATATATAGCTTCACATTCAGAACTGCGCCTCGGAACACTGTCCATGGAGCGTCATATTTCAGGCCATTATGATGTAGGGCTTTGGGAGGGGGGGAGAACAAGTGTTTTTGGGCGAACCAAGTATTCATTGTTGGAAAGTTCGTCAATGTGTACGTGTTTTGCATATGTGTATTCATTCTATCAATGTTTGCCAAGCAATCCATGATCTTTCATACCAACAAGTGCTATATTAATCATGTTTATATCATAAGAAAGTTTATTCATGATGATCCTGTTACCTATTACATTGAGTTATATTGTTCAAAGATGGACAAATGTTTTCCTTCAGAATTATTAAGTATAGCTAGAGCCGTCAATATGGGTTAGGTCCTTTGGGCTAGCCTGGCCTAACCCGTAACTTGATAGGGTTGGACTAAGATTTTTGGTACCCATTTAAGAAAAAAGTTTTTTAACCCAGCCTGAATAAGTCTGCTGATTTGTGGGGCTTGAAAATATGGATAGGATCGGCCCATGAGTCAAACAAAAATTAATTAAAAAAATAAAAATAAAATAAATTATTAAAAATAACAAGAGTTCAAACTCAAAATCTATTTTAAGTTTGAAATATTACAATCTAAAATTTATAGGAAATCACTACGTAGGTCGTAGCCTATGGAATATTGTCTTACTTTTTCTGTTTTATTATGATCATTGAAAAACAATTAAGTTAATATTTCTATTTAGCCATTTAAGCTTTTACTTGAAATCAAACTTAATAAATATTATAAAGATAATTTTATTTGTGGATTTGATTAACAAGTAGTAACACTAACATCATGTAATATTATCTTCTTGATATTTATGATAATATTTTTAAACTATAATTTGATTTAAAAAATTATAAAAAATATACTTTTTTAAAAAAAGTGGGCTGGCCCTGCATAGCCCGTAGCCCACGTACTTGTGAGCTGGGCCGACCATTTTCTGACCCATAAAAAATGGGCTAGCCCAACCTGACCCATTAAATTTCAAAGCATGTATGGATTAGACCGAATAGGATAGGTCAGCCCATATTGACAGCTATAAGTATAGCAGATAAATAAATGAAACATGAAAGTAGTTCACATATAATATGAAATTTTATATATATAGATAGGTAAATAAATATATATGATATAAATAAATAGATAGTTTCTAATTTATAGTTTTTACTTTTATTTAATTAAAAAAAATGTAGATGCAATAAATTTTTCAATCAATATTATAATACATAGATAAATCAAGAGAGAAGTAATAAGGGCAACCTTGAATTTGATGCAAATTATTAGTTTCGTTCTCGAATTATTGACGGTTTTAAAAATACCTCTCTACTTGACTAACTAAACTTAGATACACCCTTGATCTACTATGGGGCATAGCAAGTGGTCTCAAACTCGTATAGGAACATGAGGTTCTTAATTAAAAAAACCGAGGAAAGTGTTGAAAATATTTCTAAATTTGATGAAAATTTAGGGGCGTATTTCATTTATGTTGCGAGATCGGTAGTGTATTTAAGTTCATTTAGTCAAGTAAAAGAGTGGATTTTAAGGCTGTCAATAGTTGGAGGATAAAACTAATAGTTCGCATTGAGTTTAGGGTATATTCAATACTTCTCTCATAAATCAATGAAAATAATAATATATTAAACATGAAATAAAACAAAGAAAATTCTATTGTTTTAGGAGCCATTTTATAGGAATTAAACGATTTTCTCAATTTTTCGTATGTATTTGCCCATAAGTATTTTCGTGATATGACTTCCGATCAGTCTTTTACAAAACCTTTACAAAACCCTCCCTCCATAGGGAGTTGGTGAAGCAGTGCATGAAACCTCACCATTTTTTTGCCATATTTTGGACATTTAGAAAACATTTTATGGAAATTAAGTGATTTTCTCATATTAAATTATTTCTATTTTTATTTTAAAATAAATTTTACTAATATACTACTTCTGTCCACTTTTAATCGTCATAGTTTCTTTTTTTTAGAGTTAAACTATAAAAATTGTGACTAAAATTTTACGATGTATTTTTTCATCATATTGATATGCAAAAAAATTGCAACTTATAGTACATTTTGTATAGTTTTTGAATATCTAAATTTTTTGTTTAAAATATCAAATTAATGTTATCTAATTTAACTTTAAAAATTAGTCAAATTGACTTTTGAAAAATACAACATAACAAATAAAAATGAACAGAGAGTACCAAACACCTTAATTTTTTAATTAGAAAATATTTCATTTTTAAACTCCCAATCACCTGGCCAAACAACTCTAAAGTAAAATACTGCTGTGGGAAATAGCACAGTCAAAGTGGACAGACAGTACATTTCCTGACCAAGTGTGATATTTTCAACTCTTTCTTTGAGACCAATGCAACATGCCCATGTTCAATCCCACACCTTTTCTTTCATTCTACATTGCCATTATTTTTTGGACATTTAAATTTTGTATTAAATCAAAATTAAATAAAATTGTATTTAGCATGAATACACTGAATTGTTTTTTTGAATTTTCCCGAGTAAGTGAAAATAACTTTTTGAAATTTTCCACATTTCAAAAACTTCCGAAATTATATGCCAAATATGATTTTCAAAATTAACTCCAAAAAAAGAAGTAAAATAATACTCATTGGCCAATCTATCATTAAACTGTAGAAAACAACTAGTTATATTTCTTCTCAGAGACGGAGCTAGGTAGGAGTTCATAGGGTTGTCGAACCTAGTAGCTTTTCCGTAGATCCTGTATTTATACTAGAAAACTAATTAAATATATATGTATATTAACATGTGAACCCCTAACAAAAATAAATTGACATCTCAGTGAACCCCTAAACTCTTAATTCTGGCTACGCCTCTATTTCTTTCTTTCTTTCTAAATTATGAAGAGAGTAATTAGACAGCTCCCTCCGAGCGCAGCCGTGGCCGACAGAGACGGCTTGACTAGCCGGCGGCAACCATCTACCAGTCCACTTTTCTGAGTCCTTGATTGTGATGGAAATTTACTATAATATCCTCATATTGTTGAATATATATACCCATAGGCCATAATAAAACAATATATTCCCTCCGTTTAGTTGTCTCTTAATTTAAAAATAGATTTTAATTTTTATTTGTCACTTTGACATATTAAGAAAATATAATATATATTTTTTATATTTTACCCTCTATATTAAATACTTATTTTTCAAATCATTTTTTAGGATATCATTTAATAGGAGATAATTTGATAAAATACATATATCATTAATTATTTTTTTAATGAATGTGTGAAGTCAAACTGTAACAAGTACAAGTGAACGGAAGAAATAAATAAGAGAAACAAGAAAATGAAATACCTCAACTACTCTCATGAATATGAATAAACTCTCATGGCCCTATTTTGTTTTTGACAGTTATACCCCCTAAAATATCCAATGTACTATACATTTTATTCAAGATTCTGTCAGTAATTTCTAAATGTATGGTAGCGATATTATATAGTACACATGTGTGGTTGTTTTCGAAAAAACCCTAGCTTTATTGCATTTGGACTTATTTAATACTCCCATTCATGTAAAGATATTTGACCTTAGCCACCATAGAGTTATAAAAAAAATACTTTCTCAGTTTTAATTGAATTGTTCTATTTTTTCTTTTTAACACGTTTAAAAAAAGAATGGTTTCTACATAATATGTTAAGATAATAAAATTAAAGAATATGTTGGTATATTTATCATATTTTTAATTTAACATTATAAGATTTAAAAAAAAAAATATTTTCTTACACCTCGTTTGGATGGTTGTTATCTATTGTAGTGTATTGTATTATTAGTCTAAATACAATATTGTTTTGATTGTTACTTAATTTTATTGTATCATGTTGTCTAAATCCATTGTTAGATAACAATGAGAAAACTCATTTTGTGTAACAACCAATTTGGTGTTATTGCGTCGTTAGCTTAATATTTTTTTTCATTTTTTCTTTATATATTATTTAATAACTCTATTTTATCATTTACCATACTTTTTCATTATAGCTCTACCTTGTACCTTACAATTTCTTATAGATTTGTTTTATAACATACGAAAGTATGAAAAAAAAGGAGAATATTGGAACAAAACATCTCTAAACTAATAAAATAAAATACAAATTAAATTAAATAAATACATACGATTCATGCAACTGACTACAAATAACTTGTTTGGAATGGAAACATATCCGATTCTACGTCCGTACAATACTAGAGAGCCGCCGGTAGGCTTCACTATTTACACATACACTCCAAAATATAAACAAGTACAATAATAGATCTAGCCAAAGTAGTGTTTAATTTCAGTCGCCGGATTCATCTTCGCCACCGAAGATAGAAAAGCGGTTATAGAGAAGGAACAATGTGAGTGCGAGAAAAAGAGCAACGCCAACAGGGGACCCACTTACACGGTGAATGGAGTTAGGTTCACCGGTGGAGAAAATGGTGTTGATGAATGAGCCGGTGTCGGAGGAGAGGAATTGGATAGTGAGTAGGAGGATAATAGGGAGTAAGAGAAGACCTATTGGGGTAAGAAGATCGGAGATGAAATCAGTTATTGCTTCGCCATTTTCACCGAGGATTGTTGGGATTAAGAGGACTGCAACTACAACTACGGCTAAGAGAATGCCGTGTGGAGGTCCATGCCGTTGTTCTTCTATCATCGTTGTTAAAAAAAATTTGAATGAGAGAATGTGAGTTGTGGTGTTGTTGGTTTTTGCTTTTGAGTTATGTTGCAGCTTTTGGTTTTGGTTTGGTGTAGTGTAGTGTAGTGTAGTGTAGTGTGGTGCGGTGATTACCCTACCTTCTATCTTTAGCTTTTTTATACTTCCCTCTATCTCCGCTTTAAATTTATATGACTCATTTTTCTTTTTAGTTGCTCCCTCAATTTTAAAAAGAGTGGTCTAGCTTGATTTCACACGGAGTTTAAGAAAATAAAGAAAAATTTTGAATCTTGTGATCATAAATTAAAATTATATCAAATGTACAAAATTGTCTTTTAATCTTATGGTCTTGAACATGTCAAAGTTGAAATTAAAATATTATTTGAAACAAACTAATAAGGAAAATAGGTCCTTTTTTTTCAAACGAAGGAAGTATTATTCTCTTGTTCATGATCTTTAATTATTCAGGTCTAATTTGACATATCTTTTAAAAAACAATAATTAGTGGAGTAGATTTTCTATATCATTTCTAATAATTATAAGTTATCTAAATATTGAAAAATTAATATTTAGTAACAAAGATAAAATAGACATAAAATAGTAAATTATCTTTTGATTTTTCAAATTGGATAAGTAAAGTTGGATATCTATTTTTAGTATATTGGTTAAGTAAAGATGGACGGCGGAGGGAGTACTAAAAAAATGATATATTTATATATTTAGTAACAATTTAAATTTAACATATTTATTTTATCTTTAATAAAATAATTTATAATCACACAAATATTCTCTAACTTATTTTAGATCATAAATTTCAAAAGTTTATCTTTTTTTCTTGAACTACATGTCAATCAAACTACATTACATAAATTAAAAGGGAGAAAGTGGCTTGTTTTAATGGGTTTATAGCTTTTCGTTTTATAAAGCTTATTTTTTGTTTATTTTTATCTTAAATTTTATTTTATTCAAACATTATAAAAATAGTTTAAAAGGAGTAGTATTTAAACATGGTTGTGCTTTTTAGTTGGTGTTTACGCTTCTCTTCTTTTTTGGTAAAAAGGGAATTAATGAGTAGATGGGACCTTTTTGGTCCTCTAATTAATTAATAACATGTACATACGCGCTTATTAATATTCCTGTTCTTAGATCTCGTTTTTGTAGCTCGATAATGTTGACAATCGAGAATTGATTTTAAATGGGTCGGATAGCGGGTCCAAATCAAATTTTAAATTGTAATCGAAATGTTAAATTTTAGGCCTAATTAGTTGTCCATTTTTTTCTTTTTTAAGTTATCCTTAATTACTTGTCAATTTTGATAAATCAAGAAATGACAATTTTTATTTACCTATTATATCCTCAATTAATTATTTTGAAAAAGGTAGAACTTCTTGAAAATCTTAAATTTTTCATTCATCAACTTCAACATTATTAGGGGTAAAATGGTAAATTCATTGTGTCAATCATTATTTTCTAAATAGGTATGTCAATTCAAAAGTTAACAAGTAATTAAGGACATGTGTCTTATCCAAATTTCAGTATTATCGTATCTGAACTAATTTTTATAAAAATGTATAGAAATTATACTTTTTAGCATGTATCTAGAACTAATATAATGTATTTGAATGTTATTGGGTGTTAACTCATCATTAAAAACTGTATATGGATTATATTAGTTAGGAATACCAAGATACACAAAGGATTAGTAATTGAGATTATGTAAGTTATCCAAGAGGATATTTCTGTACATAAAAGGAATTCAAATTGGGGCTTTACGTTCGTAGAAATGATCAAGAAGTACTCCCCATGATTCTGATCTAGAGTATGTTCCTATCCATTGAGTAACTAACTAACTATCAAGAACGAAGTAATCTTTTACTTTGGCTAAAGACCCTTTTTCTAAGAAAGGAGAATAGGAATGAAATAAAAAAATCGAAATTAGAAAGAAAAGAATCTAATTGCAAAAGCAAAAGAGAAAATGGTCTTTTTTTTTTCTTCCTTTTTTCTTTTTTTGTTTTTATTCTTTCTTTCCTATAATTCAATTTTGATTTCTATTTAGAGAGATAAAATTTTTGTCATGATTCATGAACTAATGTACTCTCTAATTTTTTTCGTAATTGAAAATTCGAGGTTGAAATGTATATGTGATATTGCTATAAAGCACATTTTTTTATTTAATGATAAGGTTATTAATCAACAAAGAAAAATTAAAATTCTTAAAAGATGAGATAAATTCAGAAGCACTTATTTATTAGTTTTAAATATAGCAGACAGAATTCCATTGGTCTAATTTGGGACCTTAGGATAGATTTTTACTCTATCTGACAAACATATCAAGATAAAGAATAGGAAAGGGCCCTTAGATTTATTTGTGACCTCTGAGGAGCCGTATGAGGTGAAAATCTCACGTACGGTTCTGGAATAGCGATGGGCACAGTGATGTTATCATCGACTATGATTATCTAACAGTTCAAGTACAGTTGATATAGTGGAAGCGCAGTCAAAATATGGTTTTTGGGGGTGGAATTTGTGGCGTCAACCCATCGGGTTTATCGTTTTTCTAATTTCTTCTCTCGCCGAGTGTGAAAGATTACCTTTTGATTTACCAGAAGCAGAAGAAGAATTAGTAGCAGGGTATCAAACCGAATATTCAGGTATAAAATTTGGTTTATTTTACATTGCTTCATATCTGAATCTACTAGTTTCTTCATTATTTGTAACAGTTCTTTACTTGGGAGGTTGGAATCTTTCTATTCCGTACATATTTGTTCCTGAGCTATTTGGCATAAATAAAGGGGGTAAAGTCTTTGGAACACTAATTGGTATCTTTATCACATTAGCCAAAACTTATTTGTTTTTGTTCATTCCTATTGCAACAAGATGGACTTTACCGAGGCTGAGAATGGACCAACTATTAAATCTTGGGTGGAAATTTCTTTTACCGATTTCTCTAGGTAATCTATTATTGACAACCTCGTCCCAACTTCTTTCACTGTAAAAGACCACAATATCCTAGATTCACGACTTGTCTCAAACAAGAGAAAGAAACAAGCATAAAATCTTTTTTATAGATATTCAACATATGCTCCCTATGATAACTGAATTCATAAATTATGGTCAACAAACAATACGAGCCGCCAGATACATCGGCCAAGGTTTCATGATTACCCTGTCCCACGCAAATCGTTTACCTGTAACTATTCAATACCCCTACGAAAAATTGATCACATCGGAACGTTTCCGAGGCCGAATACACTTTGAATTTGATAAATGCATTGCTTGTGAAGTATGTGTGCGTGTATGTCCTATAGATTTACCCGTTGTTGATTGGAAGTTGGAAACTGATATTCGAAAGAAACGATTGCTTAATTACAGTATTGATTTTGGAATCTGTATATTTTGTGGTAATTGCGTTGAGTATTGCCCAACAAATTGTTTATCAATGACCGAAGAATATGAACTTTCTACTTATGATCGTCACGAATTGAATTATAATCAAATCGCTTTGGGTCGCTTACCAATGTCAGTAATTGATGATTACACAATTCGAACAATTTCGAATTTACCTCAAATAAACAATGAATAAACCCTTAATTCGATTCAAAAAAATTACGAATTACGAAGGCTTAGTTCGGATCTAAAACAATGAGATTTTTGCTTGGGCAATTCAAACTAGTGGTTGCTTAATGAGACTCCTAGCTTAATTTAGATTGAAAACAAAACCGATTTCAATATTATATATTATAATAGTTTATAATAGTAATGGTTTCAAAGTAGATAAATGATATCAAAAATAGATAGGTTTAAACTACTCTTTCGACGAATAAAGAATGGATAGTGGTCCAATAAAATAAAAGCATCTACGTCAATTCATACCCATTAGACTTTCATTCAATTAACAATTTCAAAGTATCATAAAAAATAGAAAAACTGCTTTTTTCCTGGTCAGGTCAATAAAGTCATGAAATTCTTCGTTTTTGATTTTTTATAAAAAATGGATTTATCTGAACCAATACATGATTTTCTTTTAGTCTTTCTAGGATCGGGTCTTATATTAGGGGGTCTAGGAGTGGTATTACTTCCCAATCCAATTTATTCGGCCTTTTCCTTGGGATTGGTTCTTGTTTGTACATCGTTATTCTATATTCTATCTAACTCCTATTTTGTAGCTGCTGCGCAGCTACTTATTTACGTAGGGGCTATAAATGTTTTAATCATTTTTGCTGTGATGTTCATGAATGGCTCAGAATATTACAAGGATTTTCATCTTTGGACCGTAGGAGATGGAATTACTTCGATGGTTTGTATAAGTCTTTTTATTTCACTAATTACTACTATTTCAGATACGTCATGGTACGGGATTATTTGGACTACAAGATCAAACCAGATTATAGAGCAAGATTTTCTAAGTAATAGTCAACAAATTGGAATTCATTTATCAACAGATTTTTTTCTCCCATTTGAACTTATTTCCATAATCCTTTTAGTTGCTTTAATAGGTGCAATTGCTGTAGCTCGTCAATAAAAAATTTCTATTAAAACTTGGAATTCAAATAAAATTTTGTTCTGTCTTATCACATTAATTTTCCTTGAATTCTATTTGAATTCTAGCTGGATAAATAGAAAGACTTTAGGTCAATCTAGTACCAATCTATTTCTTTGTTCCATACTTGTTATATACTAGTCAATTAAATTAGTTGAATTGTTGTTCATATTGAAAGGAGTCGAGATTGATAAGGAGTTGTTTAATGATTCTCGAACATGTACTTGTTTTGAGTGCCTATTTATTTTCTATCGGTATCTATGGATTGATCACAAGTCGAAATATGGTTAGAGCCCTTATGTGTCTTGAACTTATATTGAATGCGGTTAATATAAATTTTGTAACATTTTCTGATTTTTTTGATAATCGTCAATTAAAGGGAGACATTTTCTCAATTTTTGTTATAGCTATTGCAGCCGCTGAAGCAGCCATTGGCCTGGCTATTGTTTCATCAATTTACCGTAACAGAAAATCAACTCGTATCAACCAATCAAATTTGTTGAATAATTAATATTAATCATCTAGATTCTAATATTGAGAAATCAATTTTAATTAGCATGTTTACTACGTAAAGTATGATCTTGTTTGCAAAACATAAGAAATCAAAGTA